AGACAGGGCTTTGTGATGTTCTCAGTGTGAAAGATGTTCTCCATGTGCAGATGGTTCCTGTTGAGCCTCAACAACAACAACAAAATGATATTTACACCGCACCTTTCATGTCGGGTTTGCACCCGAGCTAGGGGTTGGAATCGAAGGGTGAAGGGTAAGGGGAGTTAGGATAGGAGGGTGGCCGAAGGCACGATCAATGAGAAAGGTCTTGAGATGGGCTTGATGGAGGCAGGGAGGGAGTGAGGGGCTCCAAGATGGAGTTGCAGAGGATGGGGGCAGAGAGGCTATAGGCCAGACCGCCATTGGTGGCATATATATACCATTTGTGTTTCTATAGCGCCTTCCTGCAGCACAAGGCAGGAACGCAGTGCTCAGCGGAGTTGAAGGTCAGAGTCACAGAGCAGTAAGTGCCTAGTTATACAATTTCTTATTCAAGCTATGATTCTGTTTGATAAAATACCAGCTGCTAACTTTAATCCTCTGATTGACGTCCGCAGTGTAAATGTGAAACAGACCGTGACCGATGGCGCTATTCATGGCTCAGTGACTGAGGTGCCTCAGGTTATACAGAGGCCAGGGTCCACACCCAACCCAAGCAACATTAGTTAGCAAACCACAGGCCCCCAGGTCAGGCTTGGCGCAGGGTATGGGAAAGGGGATAGGGGAGAGGGAAGTGGGGGCGGTGAGGGGGGCAGGCATATGGAGGCTTTGGGCCAATATCAGTGACACATGTAGTTCCTCAGTGCAACAATCGGGTGCGACATTTGGAGGAAGAACCCTTCCCAACAGTGGTGTCTTGTGACCCACTTTTTACCCTACTCAAATTTTGTCCCATTAACTTGATATTTACTAGTGTAGAGATAGGAGAAAAGGGTTACCAATCAGAAACTAACATAGGGTAAAAATTGTACAAATAAGGTTAGAGGGCACCAACAAAGGGGAGTAGCGATAAGTTAGAAGCTGAATCGAAAGGCTGGAGCAAAGAACATTTAAGGGAGGCAGTTATAACTTTATAGATAAGGAAGTGGAACAGAACAAACAACTCATTAATAGAGCTGTTTCAGAAAAAGGCCAAGGTTAGATGTGCAAAACAAGCCTGAGAAACAAGCTTGGGCCATGGGAATGAAACATGATCAGGAGGGGTTATTATGGGGATGGAGCATGATTAAGGGAGTAGATAAAGGTGGTCGCGCCTAGTATAGAAAACCTCCTTGAAGTACTTGAGATAGGAAGATATTAGACGGTGCTGAGAGATTAGGAGGAGTAAAACATAACTATTGAAAGGATTTATGCATCAGATTCAGCGCTAAAAATAGTGGATGACAGAAATAAAAGGCACAAAGTAGAAGAGTTATGCAGAAAGACTTGAGATGAGGAGTAGTGAGGTTCATAAAGAAGGAAGACTTTCTCCAATCAGAGTGTGGGGTTATCGCGGGTAACATACATTTCAGTTGTTATGCTGAATAAAACTGTATGCTGATGTGATAATATATCAACGTTAATGCAGTGACTGTTGCTGCTTGTGTGTGAATAAAGATCTTTTCTTTGAATCATTGTGTCAACTCGTATTGAGTAAACTGGTTTTCTGGCAAACCTTACACTAGCTACCAGTGGAATAAACTGGAACAGAAACAGCAGCTTTTTAACTTGGCGGGTTTGTGAGGTCAACCTTTCTGTTACGGTTAGTCAGTAACGGGATTCCAAAGATTCCCGTTACCCTTCCAGGAAAGTTGGTGCCTTCTGTCCTAAGTGCCTGTGCTTCCCGAGCGTGGTGCCGTGAAAGTGATTGTAGCGTAGTGATTAGAGCACTCGCCTCGCAAGCGAGAGTACCTGGGATCAATACCCGAGCAGGGCAAAATGTTGGGCACGTTTCCTTACTCCACACACATGCCTCTGTTTACCCAGAAGAAAGTAGGAACCCGGCTGTTAGTCAATTGGGAGATCGCTTTTCTGGGGGCAATAATTCCTTCAAAAAAATAGTTATTTGGTCACTGAACCCAATCGTAGGATACTGCTGTGGTCAATTGGCTGACACGTTTCGCCCACAAAATATACATTAAATTCACTTTACAGTATATTCTGTGAAGAGCTTTGAGACATCTCAAAGATGTGATAATGCATTGTGTCAAATGCAAGGATTATTATTATTAATGATGGCAGCCGGAGTGCGGGCTGTGTGTTGGTGTCTCTGTGCCGACTGTGTCCTGAAGCCACCTCAGCTGCTCCTCCCAGGTGGTAATCGGGATTCCGATCGCCCCAACAAGTAGCAATCTCTACAGTATCACATCCCTCAGGCAGCTGCGGACAGGGTTACACAAGGCAATCTGAGCCTCTTGCCTTTGTTTGATAACCGCTGCCAGTGTCGGTGATTAATGACTGTTTGTGCAGATTATCCAGCGGAAAGCAACACAGAGAGCAGTAGGTAGCCAGCGGCTATGGCTATGCTGCTGTTACAGGTTACACCAAGGCTGCTCTGTGCTGGGGCCGGGGATGCCCTGTGTTGGGTCCTGGCCCGGGACCGGATGTGGGGTTGGAATGACAGAATGGAGATCGAACCTGACATCAAGGTATAGATTCGGTAAGTCTTAGGTAAAGGCTGGGGAGGTTGAGGAGGTAAAAGCTGCAGGAGTTAAGGCATTGACGGGAGTCAAGTCGCATGACTCAGTCTTGTCAAGATTTAACTGCCTGACAACTAAGCAAACAGACATAGAGAGCTGTGGAGTCCTGTAGCTCAGTGGTTAGAGCATTCGCTTTGCAAGTGAGAGACCTGAGTTCAATTCCAGGCAGAGGTCGAAACCTTGGGCAAGTTTCCTTACTCCACACAGAGCCTAATAACAATCCCTCCAAAACCAAAAACAATAATAAATTGGTCATTTTCAATCTACGACACTTTGTGGGACATTGCTGTGCGCAATTGGCTGCCGCGTTCGCCCACAAATATACAGTTAATTCACTTTACAGTGTGTTCTGTGAAGCGCTTTGGGACGTCCTCCCGACGTGAAAAACGCTATATCAAATGCAAGGATTATTATTATTATTATTATTATAACAACAACAACAACAAGATTCCATTTATAAAGCGCCTTTCACGTCAGGAGGACGTCCCAAGGCGCTGCACAGTTGGGTCATGACCCGAGCAGGGAGGAAATGGTCAGGGTGAGGGGAGGGAAGGGAGGGAGCGAGGAGGGGGAAGAGAGTCGAGAGGGGAGCTGAAGGCTCGGTCAAAGAGAATAAGGTGACACTGATTGGGTTTCTGGACAATAAGAATGAGAAATGATATTAAAACAATAGCAAGTTATGTTTGCATAGCACCTTTCACTTTGGGAGGATACTAAATAAACATGAGTTGGTGGTGAGATGTGTAGATCAGAGTGAGTCACTGCCAATGCGTTGGGAATTTCACTCGGTTAGGTTAAGTTAAACCAGATTCCAGGATTTCAGCATTGGCTTAACTGTGCCAACACCCTCTTGTCAGCCTTCCCAACTATTCCCGCACAAGCTACAGATCATCCAGAACTCTGCAGCTCATGTCATCTCCCGCACTAGGCTCCGTGACCCCATCATACCCACCCTCGCCCGGCTCCACTGGCTCCCCATCCCTCGAGTTTAAAATCCTCGTCCTCAATTTCAAGACCTTCCATGGCCTTGCCTCCTCCTACCTTTCCGACCTGTTAACCCCCTTATCAACCTGTCTGCTCCTTCCACTCAGCAGGCTCTGGCTCCTGCCCATGTCCCCCGCCCAGCCCGCCTCATCATCAGCGGTCGGGCCTTCAGCCTCTCTGCCCCCACCATCTGGTACTCCATCCCACCTTCCCTTTGCCTTGCTTCCTCCCTTGCCTCCTTCAAGGCACGCCTCAAGACTCTCCCCTTCGACCATGCCTTTGGCCACCTTCCGACCCTCTCTGTCCTCTACCCTCCCTGACCCCAACATCCCGCCATGCCCCATCCCCCCCCCCCATTCCCCACTGCTCAGGTCCCAATCCCTGGCTGTTCAGCGACTTGGGATGTCCTCCAAACGTGAAAGGCACTTTACAAATGCAATTTTGTATCCCTCGGATATTAATTAACACACATACACATAACACACATGTAGTACACACACAGAGCACATGCACACACCAACACACACACAGACACACAGTGTATAGCATGGCCAGGACAAACACAGCACACACCCACAGAGCACAGATAAACAGAGTACATGTGCACACAGAATATACCCAGAGCACACAGCTTGATGAGGACTTGTCTGAGTGAAGAGAGGAATGTTGGTGATTTCACAAGCCACCCTCTGTGCTGGGTTGGTTGTGAACTAGTATTTGAGGGATGCTGGAATCTGGTTAAACTTGACCCTGTTCCCCCCCCCCCCCCCCCCCACTATTACCTGTGGGAAAATGGCTATGAGTACTTCAATTAAAAGGGTAAATACTTGTATACTTGAAGCGCTTTGGGACGTCTAGAAGACGTGAAAAGCGCTATATCAAATGCAAGGATTATTATTATTATTAAGTGTAACAACTGTTTATTTGTAAGAAAACACCACAGACACCATCACATTTGTGCACATCCCATTGCACTGCTCCCCCAGTTCTGCACTGGAGTCTCAGCCTGGACTGTAAGCTCACTGCTCGGAGACCCAGACACAGAGACAAAGACCCAGACACAGAGACCGAGACAAAGACTCAGTGACACAAAGATTGAGACACAAAGATAGAGACCCAGACACAGAGCAGTCAGACCCTGGGTGGGTCCCAAAGCCAGTGGGAAAAATCTGACGACATTCAAAGAAGAGTATGCGCGACAGAACAGTCACTCCACTCCACAAAAATACACTCCACAGGGCACCCTGTGAGCGGCAGTGTAAGAGGTTGTGTGAGGCTGTGAGAGGCGGTGTTTCACCTGTAAGGAAGGATTCGTATTAAAACCTTCACCAGATGTTTTTAACCCTTTGCTTCTAGCAGTGAGGGTGTGTATCTATTGGTTCCGCCTCTAACATGCGCTATATAACTAATGGAGCCGGCAGTGGGGCAGGGAGAGCGATACAGGAGCCGGGCAGTGAGAGGGGCAATAGTAATACCAGGCAGGAGCCGAGAAGGGTAGGCAGTGAGTGAGTGCGAGGCAGTACAGTGAGCGGGGTAGTGCCAGGCAGGGCAGGATGAAGCAGACCCAGATGCGCTGGAGGTTGCCCGCGGTGTGCGCGCTGTGGCAGTTGCTGATGATCATCCTGTTCGGAGTGTTTGTGCGCTATGATGAGGAGGCGGACGCGCACTGGCCACAGACACGGGTCTCACACAACATCAGCAGCGACATCGAGAACGACTTCTACTTCAGATACCCCAGTAAGTGACTGAGTATCCCCCAACCTCAACAAGCCTTCACCCTAACCGCCTCCCCCCACATACACACAGATACCCCAGTAAGTGACTGAGTACCCCTAACACAGTTTGCGGAGAGACACAGCAGTAATTACGCACCGCGATGTCTCACAGACAGCAGGGAAGTGACTGACGGAGTTCGTGGGGTGGGGTGTGTTGGCCAGGACACCGGGAGAAGCAGACAGGCGAGGGTTCATTGAGAGACAGGATCTCTCTTTACAATAAAGAAAAACACAGCTAATTGTGTGGACTTTTATTGTGTAAATTAAGTTTCCTTTGAAAAGTGAGGTTGGTTGTCTCCATGTCCTGGTAACCAGAGCTCCTTCCTCACACTGAATAGCAACTCCCCAGGGAGACGCACTCTCATCCAATCCAGGAATATTCACCCTTCAACAACAACAATATTTACATGAATTTATACAGCATATATAAAGCCCTCCTTTCTACCATTGGTGACTGCGCTTTCAGTCACTGTGCCTCAAAACTCTGGAACATTCTTCCACTATCCCTCTTCTTTGCCCCCTCCTTCCCCATCTTCAGATTGTGCTTAAAGATCTTCCTCTTCGACTGTGCCTACAGTCAGCTCCCCCTGTCTTGGCATCGTGCTTCGCCACTGTCATGTGATCTGGGAACTACTCTGTGTGAGGGGCGTTATATAAATGCAAGTTATTGTTGCCTTTCACTTCATTGTTAATGTTGTTTGCACTCAAGCTTTGTGCCAGTTTGGCGGGACAGAAAGATAAAGCTGTTAAAAAAGCATCCGGGATGCTAGACTTTATAAATAGAGGCAAAGAATACAAATGGTGTGTGCAATGGTAGATAGGAAGGTATGATGAACCTTTATAAAACAACGGTTAGGCCTCAGCTAGAGATTGTCTTCAGTTCTGGGTTCTACGCTTTAGGAAGGATATCAAGGCATTGTAGAGGGTGCAAAGGAGATTTCCAGGATGGTACCAGGAATGAGGGGCTTCAGTTACCAGGAGAGGCTAGAGAAGATAGGATTATTCTCCTTGGAGCAGAGAAGGTTAAGAGGAGACGTCATAGAAATTTTCAAAATTATGAGGGCATTTGATGGGGTGAACAAGGAGAAACTATTTCCACTGGCGGGTGGGTCAGTAACCCAAGGGCACCAATTCAAAATAGTTGTTAAAAGAAACAGAGGGGAGGTGAGGAGAAATGTTTTCAAACAGCAAGTATTTCATATTTGGAATGCATTGTCTGAAAGGTGGTGGAAGCCAATTTGATAACAACTTTTAAGAGAGAAGTAGTTCATTATTTGGGAAGGACAAGTTTGCAGTGTTATGGGGAGAGAGCGGGAGAGTGGGATTGATTTGGGAAGCTCTTTTCAAAGAGCCAGCACAGACACGGTGGGCCGACTGGCCTTCTTCTGTGCCGTATAACTCTATTATTCTATATCTTCATGAAGCCCAGTGTAGGAGAGAACATCTGGGAAGTCCAGTGAGCAGAGAATTGGCGTAGTCTAGCCTTGATGTGATGAAAGCATGGATGAGGGTCTCGGCGGCCAACGGGAGAGGTGGTGTTGGAGGCGTGGGCAATGTTGCAGAGGTGGGGAAACTTGAAAAGGGGACAGATGTGGGGCCTAAAGGGCAGCTGAGAGCTAAACAAGACACTAAGGTTCCACACTGGTTCTGGGAGGTGGAGTATGCATCTTCCCCGCCCCCCAGGAGCCTGGTGTGTGCAACAGTAGAGTAGCGAGTTTCTCACACATTTGCCAATGTGGCATTGCGATATTTCTGACGAGCTGAACTGGTTTCTTAATTGGATTCTGTGTGGCTTTCCAGGGAATGCCAATGTGTATTATCATAGAGATAAATAATCAGCCGCTCATCAGTACAGATACAGTGTAAGTATCCCTTACAAGCACAGGGGAGTAGGTTGCGATGGGGTGGTGGCGGCGGGGGGGGGGAGGGGGGGAGGGTGTTGGTGAGCTGACCATTCACTGACACCCTGCACCTTCTTGGTTCCAGGCTTCCAGGATGTCCATGTCATGATCTTTGTCGGCTTTGGATTCCTCATGACGTTCCTGAGAAAATACGGATTTGGAAGCGTCGGATTCAACTTCCTGATCGCGGCCTTTGGAATCCAGTGGGCACTGCTGATGCAGGGCTGGTTCCACTCGCTGGACCCGACCGACGGCAAGATCAAGATTGGCGTGGAGAGGTGCGACCAACTAGCCCGTAATCCATCCCCGCATCCCCTCGTAACCCTGTTCCCCCCTGTAACAGCCCCAGTAACGAGGTGTGTCTATTTACAGCCTGATTAATGCTGATTTCTGTGTGGCCTCAGCGCTGATCTCCTTCGGGGCAGTGCTCGGGAAGGTCAGCCCAGTGCAGCTGATGATCATGACACTGTTTGAGATGACACTGTACGCTGTCGACGAATACATCCTCCTGAATGTCCTCGGGGTGAGTGTCTGTGTCCAGTCCCTCCCCACCTGGGCAGTCACACACATTCATCCTGCCTTCATGACAACCACACTCACACACACACACCTCCCTGACAGCGACACATGCGCACAAACCGCGACCTGGCACATGCCAGAGTCTGGCTGCTCGGGTTGGGTCGGAGTCTGGGGTCAGGAGGTCTCCGAGGTGTATTCAGCGTTAGGAAAGTATTAAACAGGGAGTGACTGCTTGCACTGGGGAGTGAGTCAGTAACTGGAGGGACTGGGTGTAACACTGAAACATTAATACTACAGTCATACAAACAGAGGGCGTCACACACAGTCATTCAACAACAACAACAACAAGATTCCATTTATTGAGCGCCTTTCACGTCGGGAGGACGTCCCAAGGCGCTGATACATACAAAGATACACACAGACACACATACAGATAGTCATACACAGAAACAGACAGACACACACAGCCATACACCGACACAAACAGACACACAGACAAACACAGACACACACAGTCAATGGGACAAACACTAAAAACACCGGATTCAGACACGATCGCGGTGATGGGGGGAAGAGGGCTCTGGAGCAAGTCAGAGCAGCGCGGCTCTGCTGTCACTGTCGTACTCCGTGGTTCAGTGATATTTTTGTTTGCTGTCCCCCCCACCTCTCTCTCTGCCACACTCACTCTTTCTCTCTGCCACTCACTCTATTTCTCTGCCACTCTCTCTGCCACACTCACTCTATTTCTCTGCCACTCTCTCTCCGCCACACTCACACTCTCTCTCTCTCTGCCACACTCTCTCTCTCTCTCTGCCACACTCACTCTCTCTCTCTCTGCCACACTCACTCTATCTCTCTGCCACTCTCTTTGCCACACTCACTCTCTCTCTGCCACACTCACTCTCTCTCTCAGGCCCGCGATGCGGGTGGCTCTATGGTGATCCACGTGTTTGGGGCCTATTTCGGACTGGCTGTCACCAGGGTGCTGTACCGGCCCCGACTCGAACAGTCCAACAACACATCCAACTACCACTCTGACCTCTTCGCCATGATCGGTTAGTCTCCCAGCCCTCAGAGTGCGAAAGCTGTGGGGGGAGCACTGGGGGTGGGGGGAGCACTGGGGGTGGGGGGAGCACTGGGGGTGGGGATTGGGGGGGGCAGAGTGCTGTGGAGGAACACGGGGGAGGAGCGTTGGGGGGAACCTCTGGGTTGCGCTAAGGGTGTGGCGCTGTGGGGAGGAGTGCGGGGGAAGGGTAGTGCTGGGGGCAGAGCGCTGGGAGTGGGGCACTGGGGGGGACGCCTGGCGGGGGGGGGGGGGTAGAGAGCGCCCTGCGCTGTGGCTGATGGCATCTGTTCGGGTTTAGGAACGCTGTTCCTGTGGATGTTTTGGCCGAGCTTTAACTCCGCCATCTCCCACCACGGGGACGGGCAACACCGCGGGGCCATCAACACCTACTGTGCCCTCGCCGCCAGCGTCGTCACCTCCATTGGGCTCTCCAGCCTCTTGGAAAAGAAAGGCAAAATCAACATGGTGGGTATTCCACCTCCGCCTTGTTTCCCCCCCAACCCCACGTCCCGCGCCCACACGCCCCCCCCCACACGCCCCCCCCCACACACACACGCCCCCCCCACACGCCCCCCCCACATACACACACGCCCCCCCCCCCACGCCCCCCCCCCACACACACACGCCCCCCCCCCCCACACACACACGCCCCCCCCCCACACACACACCCCCCCCCCCCCCACACGCCCCCCCCCCCCCCACACGGCCCATGGCTACACGGTTGCGCCCTGACCCTGTTCCTGTGTAGGTGCACGTGCAGAACGCCACACTGGCGGGAGGGGTGGCGCTGGGAACGGCCGCGGAGATGATGCTGTCCACCTATGGAGCGCTGATCGTGGGCTTCATCGCCAGCACCGTCTCCACCCTCGGCTTCATCTTTCTCACGGTAAGCGGTGTGGGGGGGAAACTGACCACCGGGTCCAGAACTGGGCCGGTGGGCTGGGGCGCGGGTGCGGGTGGGGGGAGCGCTGTTTCCCCGCTCGGCCCCAGTCCGGCACAGTGTGCATTAACTCAGACAGTAAAGGCCGGTTCAGGCTGTGAGGGACAAGTCCAGGATAGAAACCAGGAAGTACTTCTTCCCCACAGCTGGAAGCTATGACCGGGGCGGAGAGAGGGGGGAGGAGGGCACTGGGGCTGAATCGTCCTCTTTACCCGCGCGTGTAGTGTGAATGTGACACTGTTCGCGTGTTTCAGCCGCTGTTGGAGCGATACCTGAAGGTACAGGACACGTGCGGTGTCCACAACCTGCACGGAATGCCCGGCATCATCGGCGGCATCGTGGGGGCCATCACTGCAGCCGCTGCCACCGAGGAGGTGTACAGCGCCGAGGGGTAAGTGCCGGGCTGGGGAGGGGGGTCCGACGGTTAAATAATGCCAACAATATTGCAATAATAAATTGGTTACTCGATCCACGACTGTGTGGGGACACTGCTGTGCGCAATTGGCCACAAATAGACAGTCGATTCGCTTTGCAGTATATTCTGTGAAGCGTTTTGAGACGTCGAGAAGGCGTGATAGGGCGGTACAGCAAATGCAAGGATTATTATTTTTGTTAATGTTGAACCACACCCATTCCGGTGCTCAGGGGCCAAGTGACTTCCTCGTGTATTGCCTCCACCCCATCAGCTCCGTGTCTCATGAAACGCTTTGAGGTATTCTGTGCTCTGTATGAGCGCAGCCTTGGGACGGCCTCTCAACACGGAATGTTCTTGTTGGCGGAACGCCATTTGTGTTGGATTGCCAGTTGTGTGTCCATATATGTGTTGTATACGTTGTGTTTGTTGTAATGTGCTATTTCAGGTTGGGGGGGGAGCGGTGTTGAGGGGGGTCAGATGCTCAATGACGCTCCCTGTTTGGCTTCTGTTTTCAGGCTAAGGGCATCGTTTAGCAATCGTGACCGGATGCCCAGTGTCCAGGGCGGCTTCCAGGGCGCAGCTCTGTGTGTCTCTCTTGCCATCGGGCTGGTGGGAGGAACCATCGTGGGTGAGAGCCTGACCTGTACATGTGGGAGTGGGAGGGGTGGGGGTGGTTGTTGGTCGGGCCCTATCAGGATGGATCAGTTTCAAAGGAGCCTGAGCCTGTGTGGTGGGAGGGTGGGGGTGGCATTTATCTACGGCTCCTACCCCCCCCCCCCCCCCCCACCCAAGAGGTGAAGCTTTATACAGATTTGGGGCTGAGAACCCACCAGCCCGAGCCACCTCCCACTTGTCAGTGAAGGGGAGAGTGAGGAGGGGGGCAGTGAGGTGGAACCAGCGAAGGAATAGGAAGGGAAGCAAACTGATGAGCAGCATTTGCCTAAGACACACAGTCACTACACGTGATGTTAATTGCCTGTGAAGAGTTGGACCAATGGAAGGTTATGATCCTGATGTGATTTAAACTTATTCTTCAAATAACATAAAAGGTTTAAAACTCTCCCACTTGGAAAGGGTTTGCTTGTTGCTTTTCTGCCTGAAAACCACAGACTTTCACCGCAATTAGCCACCGATGCTTGGAAAACTCTGGGCTCTGCCTGCCGCCTGGTGGTGGTTCTGTGGTATTACAGGACAATCAATATTATTGAGTGTCCCTCATTGCCCCCAAAACATTCCCTCCAGTAAAGTCGGTTTAATATTTCCAGAAGGTCCCTTCATTGTCGTGTGGCCTCGAGCCTTTCAGGCTTCCCTTCATAATTGCGCACGTTCACATCAACCTGAAACGGGGTAAGGACTTGCATAGAGATAAAGATTTCATGATTTTTATTGTTATTTGAACAGGTTTTATTCTGAAGCTGCCGCTGTGGGGAGACCCAGCCGATGAGAACTGCTTTGATGATGAGGTGTACTGGGAGGTGGGTGACCATTTGGTGCAGCAGGGGTCGCTGCAGTACATTTAATCCTCAGAGAGAAAATACCACAATTCCAAATCTGATTCCATGAGTTAATCGTAACTTCGAGTCTGCGATTTGTGATTCAGGGATTCAACCGGCGCCATCATGAGAGGGAGTGTCGAGCGAAATGGTTAATCGCGATACAATGAAAGCATTCACTAATTTCATGCAAATGCCAGCAGAAAGCCCTGTGTGAGAGGTGCTATATAAATGCAAGTTGTTTTTGTTGATGAAAGGGCAGGGCATTGACAGAGAGGCGGGGCCCTGGCAGAGAGGGTGGGGTCGCTGGCAGAGAGGGTGAGGCTCTGGAATCGGAAAGGCAGTGAGCTCTGCACTCTTATACAATAATAATAATAACCACTATATAACAGCAATCATTGTTCCACAGGTGCCAGAGGAGCCAGAACCATCACACAGTATCATCATCTCAGAGGTGCCAAAGAATTCCACTATTAATGGAACCCAAGCAATTGAACATCCCCCAACTCTGTGAGCGCAGCCAATCTTGAGACACATTGTGTTTGGAGGGAGGGGTTAGGGGCAATCCTGTTAGGGAGAACAGTTAGGGTCCTATCAGGGGAAGAGGTTAGGGGTGCAGTCCTGTTAGGGAGGGGTTAAGGGTGGGGCCTTGTTAGGGAAGGGGTTAGTGATGGGGTCATGTCAAGGTAGGGGTGGGGTCATGTCGGGGAAAGGGGTTAGGGGCAATGCCCTGTCAAGGGTGGGGTTAGGGGCCCTGTGGGGGATGGGTGGAGGGTTGAGCACATGGTTAGTGAAGCCTGATATAACAAGTTGTGCTGCAGACAGAAAGCTATAGCCACCTTCTTTCTCAGTAAAAGAAAAAGATAATCTGCGAGGAATTCCTGAACATCTGACATGGAGACACCCCCTCCCCCACCCTTCCCGGTTCCCAACCCACAGGTGAGACTGAACTGGCAGGTGACATGAAGGCAAGGTTTCAAAATGGAAATTTTCAGACCCCCTCATTTTCCACAATAACCATTTTCATGTACTTTTCAACCTGTTTTATTATCTATAAATGTTTGATTTGAAACCTGGAGCCTTCCCTGATTTTATTGTACTTTTCTTGCAGTGGGAGATGATACAAATGTGTTTAAGAGTTACAAGGCAATGTTAAGAGTCCACTTAATTGTCTCAGGTATAAAGGGAGATATGCGTAACCTTATACTTTACACAGCTCTCAGTTGGAGGAAGCGTGTAGTGAGTCCAGCACTGCTCTTGTAGCCATGAGGTTGTGTCCAGTCAGGACATGAATGGCCAAAATTCCCATATCGATAATACACGGTGACGGGTGCCCTTTGCTCTCCACATGATCAAGTGATGCTCTTTCATCTCTCATGCCCTCTCCCCCCGCGATGATGTGATGTTACTCTCCGGGAGGGAGGTTGCGAAGAGCGTTGGAGTGTGTATATTCGATGTGAGGGAGGTGCAGGAAATGCAATTTTGACCCAGCAGTTCGGCAGGGCAAGTGTGTTAGTGACAAAGTGTGTTTGGCAATTGTTAACATGAGTAGTGCAGACATATTTAAGTGGATTTAATAGGAAATTCAAGAGATTTGGGTAGGTGTACAAGTTGGCAATTATACAGTTTATATTTATGCAAATTGTAATGTAACTGGGCAAAAAGCAAACCCTGTTTCCAGGGGTCACACTGGGCATCACCCTATTTGCTTCTGTTTCACTATAATAAAAATGTACATCAATAAATTAGAGCGTTTTCAGCATAAACATGTGGTTTATTGTTGTTTACATGAAACTTTCACACATACTTGAACGATACCATTGAAGGTTTGACTCCCGTTAGGCTGAGTGTCTGATGGCCGCGATGCTGATCGCAGTGAGACCATTCTGTGATAATGAGTTACCATGTTTGTGGTGATTATAAAAGAGAGTTTCCCAGCGGCAACACAGAAGCAAAACAGCCACAACCTGGGCTCCTGCCCTGACCGAACTGCGGACGTGATTTAGGGCCAATTGGTGATGAAGCCTCCCTTCCAGATCCCACAGCATTGTATCCAGTGAGCAACCAAAGCCTCCAGTGGATCTAATAGTAATAATAATGATAATAATGAGCCCTGCATTTCATATAGCACCTGATCACGTCTCCGAGATGTATCAGCACTTCACAGGATATATTGTAATGTGCAGTGACTGTATTTTGTAGGCAGCAGCCTACAATGCGGCAGCCACTTTGAACACAGCAATGTTGCACAAACAGCCACGAAGTGAGTGACCAACTTAATTTGGGGGATTGTTGGCCAGGATATCAGGAGAGAGAAACTCCTTTCTCTTTTTGTTTTGGTCACCCCAATTCCAACCCCAGGCCCAACCTGAACCCCAGACCCAGACTCAATCCCAACTCTGAATGTAAATCCCCTTTCATCAGGTCAGTTGGTTTATTTGCTCTGTGCCCTGTTGTCTTTGCCCTGTTCCTGGTGAATATTCATTGGAAGTTGTTGAAGAGATCAGACGCTTGTTAGTGTTCAGCTGGAAGCCTCTGTGACTGGGGTCAGGGGGGGTCAGGGGGCCAAGGAGCTTGAGGGACCCAGTATAATGGAGCTCGACACTTGAGGACCATATAGAGCTGTTAGCACTAGTGTGATTGAAAGCCAAGGCTTCTGAAAGCCGTTTCCTTGTTGTAAACCATCCAATTATAATCCCGTGGGTGTATGTTCCCATTCACTCCCAATACCCCATGATTATGTGCTGAGTGCTGGTCACTAACTGACAGTGGTAATAAAACTGTCGCTCTGTTTCAAACAGTTTAGCTCACAAACCCTTTCACTCTTTTAGTCTGTTTCCCAAAACTCATGTCCCGACAAGCAACCATTTAAATTTTACCCCCAAAAGCTTGCTATATGGGGGTAGGGGTTAAGGGGACGGGGGAGGGAGGGGTCTAACAGGGAGATTAGAGGATGTGGAAAGGTCAGGGATCATTGTCACTTATCTCAAGATCTTGGTTTATCGTCTCATCTGAAGCAAGGTGCCTCGAATAACACTGCACAGGAGAGACGAGACAACCTGGACTCTGAGTCCAAAGCTGCCAATATGGTTGGGGGGTTGGTGGGGGTGGGAATCTTGAACTCACAAGCTGACCCCGAGGTGAGAGGTCTACATATTACAGTGGAACCCATCAGTAATAGGTCTGTCTCCATCCCGGAGAGAAAGTAACTCCAACACAACCCACTGTCAAACGCATTCAATAAACACCCCCCACCCCCAGCCCCAGGCTAGTGCATTGTTCATTAACATTTTTTAAATGCATTCAAATAAAAATGTGGTTACTCAATCCATGACTCTTTGTGCAAGTGGCTGTCGCGTTTCGCCCATGAAATACAGTACTGCACTTTACAGTATATTCTGTGAAGCTCCTCGAAGACGTGATAATGCGCTATATCAAATGCAAGGATTATTATTATTATTTGGCACACGCCCCACCAGAGACAGGAGAGTGACATGAGGTGGGGGTAGGGCCAGTGGGGTACAAGAGTTCTGTATTGAGCTGACTACATTGTGAATTCTCCTCCCAGTGACCCTGCTCTGAGGCCGGGTCAGCCTCAAGCATTGCCAGCCACACAGAGCAGCGTATGACAGAGAGAGAGAGACAGAGAGAGGAGTGAGCTCGTTGCCATTCCTGCTGTGTCGCCTACAGGCTGAGGGAAGTTGTTTAAAGCTGGAGAGAGTTGTTAGCGGAGATGTACAAGCGATTAGAGACAGTGATCTGATCTGATGCTTTGTTCCCAGCCAGAGACTGGAGCAGGGAGGAGCCCCTTTCATATCCATCGCCAGTCAGAAAGAGGTGATTCACACAGCCAGCCATTGCCATTGCCAGTGCGGGTGCCGTTGCCAGGCACTGACTGAGTCAGTGGGGATGTATGTGGTGCTGGGCTGCTGCCTGCGAACAGACCTCTCTCTCAACCTGTGATTGACAGTGATGTCCCAGCCTGCATTCCAGCTCCCTGTTGTCTGTTAGCGGGACACCAGCTCCCAGGAACCCCACCACCACCACCCCACCCAACACCCCCACACACACACCAACACACACACATCAACCACAGCCCCAGCCCTAGTCCCAACCCCAGCTCCTGCCCTGGGGGAATCCCAGCTCTGGCAGTGAAATCTGACTTTTGATAATGTGATAATTATCACAGGGAAAGCAATCTGCAACACAGTTTTCACTTTCAGTTTCTCAAAAAATCAAGACAGTAATTAACTTCCCTGGGTGAGAAAGCTGTGAGAGGAGCCATCCTTTGGGTGAGATGTTAAACCAAGGTCCTGTTTGCGTCTGTTCAGGTGGGGGTTCAAGATAATAATAATCATCCTTGCATTTGAAATAGCCCCTTATTACATCTTCAAATCATCTCAACATGCTTCACAGAATATACTGTAAACTGTAGTGACTGTGTATTTTGTGCGCAAAAGATCCATAAAACAGAAGGGAGTTTCTCCAGGTGTCTCTGCCAATGGTCTGGCTTCATTGGGGTAGAATTAACCTCAGTCCTGAAGTAAACACTGTCCAATGCCCAACAGCAACAATAACAAGAAGATTACATTTGTGTATTGCCTTTCACGTCGGGAGGATGTCCCAAGGCGCTGGACAGAATACAGCATTTCAGACCTGAGCTAGGGTTGGGGCCGAGGGGAGGGAAGGGGAAGCGGGGTGGCCGATGGCCTGGTTGAAGAGGAGAGTTTTGAGGCGGGAGTTGAAGGAGGCTAAGGAGGGGGTGAGTGAGTGGGGGATGGAATTCCAGAGTTTGGGGGCAGACTGGCTGAAGGCTCTCCCACCAATGGTGGGGCGGGTGGGTTCGGGAACGTGAAGCAAGCCAGAGCCGGCTGAGTGGAGGGAACGTGCAGGTTGGTACAGGGTTAGGAGATCGCAGAGGTAGGGTGGGACGAGGCCATGGAAGGCTTTGTATGTGAGAACCAGGATCTTGAACTGGATCCTCTGAAGGATAGGGAGCCAATGGAGTCAGGTAAAAGTGGGGGAGATGGGGTCACAGAGTTTGGTGTGGGAGAGGACATGGGCTGCAGAGTTCTGGATTATCTGCAGTCTGTCGAGGGAGGAGTTGGGAAGGCCGACAAGCAGGGCATTTGCATAGTTGAGCCGAGAGGTGATGAAGGCATGAACAAGAGTTTCAGCGGCCTGAGCGGTGAGGTAGTGGCAAAGTCGGGTGATGTTACAGAGGTGAGGAAAGGCAGAGCGGGTCAGGGCTTGAATGTGGGGGAGAAAAGATAGTTGAGGGTCGAACAAGACACCGAGGTTCCTGACTGGCTGGTGAGTTGTAGTGTGCAACCATGGAGGTTGATGTTGCCAGAGCCTGAGGTGCTGAGGCGCTGGCGTGAGCCAATCAGGAAGGCCTCAGTCCTGTTCACATTCAACTGTAGGAAATTTGCCCTCATCCAGGACTTGATGTCCGACAGGCAGTTGTCCTGGAGTTGAGGGTGGAAGCAGAAAGATAGAGTTGGGTGTCATCCGCATGTATACATGTGGAAGTTGACCCCATATCTGCGGATGATGTCGCCAAGGGGGAGCATGTAGATATTAAAGAGGAGAGGGCCAAGGACAGACCCCTGGGAACACCAGATGTGATAGTGCGGGGGCTGGAGAAGAATCCGTTAGAGGCAACAAAGTGGAGATGGTGAGAGAGATAAGAATCGAACCAGACAAGGGTAGGTTCACGAAGATTGAGTAAAGCAGAGAGGCGGTGTATGAGAATGGAGTGGTCGACAGTGTCGAAGGCGGCAGAGGTCGAGGAGGACAAGGAGGCAGAGGGAGCCTGGATCACAGATGTTCAGAATGTCATCAGTGACTGTGACCAGGGCTGTTTCCATGCCGTGGGCAGCACGGAAGCCGGATTGGAGGGGTTCAAAGAGGGAATGGCGAGAGAGAAAGGAGCGGAGCCGGGACGCGACGCGACGACTTGTTCCAGGACCTTGGAGAGGAATGGGTGGTTAGAGATGGGGCAGTAGCTGGAGAGAAGGGAAGGATCCAGGGAAGGCTTTTTCAGGATGGGGGTGATGACGGCTGTTTTTAGGGGGGTGGGAACTGAACCGGTGGACAGGGTGAGGTTAATGACATCGGACAAGAGTGGGGCCAGAAGGTAGAGTTGGGAGACGAGGAGAGAGGTGGGGATGGGATCGAGGGAGCAGGTGGTGGGTTTGAGTTTGCGAACAATCGTGGTGAGGGAGGAGGGAGAGATAGGGTCGAAGGAGTATAGGGGGGGATGGGTGGGGGGGGGGGGTGGGTGGTCATGGAGGAGAGCTGATGTGGGGGTGCCCAAAGAGAAAAAGAGAGACAGAGGGAGAAAAAATGAGAGAAAAGGGAAAGAAAAAAGAGAGGGTGTGTGCGAGGTGATTGTAACTCAAACAGAATTCGGTACTGGAAGCGTTTTAAGAGAAAATCTGTCAGCTTTACAAAACAGACTATTTATGCAGCCAAAGCCGCAAGTTATTATTTCTCGACCATTGTCCCGGCGCAGAGTGATCGTGTGGATAGAGAGGCTGATTCCCACGATCCCACGTATTATTCCTGCCCGGAGAATGATGTCATCGCAGGAGGCTGAGGGTGGGATCTTTGTGCTGCTCGTTGTGGAGTCTGCCCGCGGGCCGGGCGGGCCGGGCCGGGCCGGGCCGGGAGCGCTTCTCACTCTGTCATTTTTACTCAGCCACGACAATAGGGTTCTCGGTGTAATTGTCGCTGGCGCCTGGTCAGGGCATCGCCGAGCTGA